ATCACACTGTGGTTACAATAGAACCGTCTTCCTGTCTGAGAAGTCTGAAACAGTCAGTGTCCTACTGAGAAGTTCTCTGTAAAAGTCTGCCACACTTTCTACACACGACCTCATTGCAAGAACGACACAATGTAACGAAAATCCCAGCATTTATTTGGTGGGGGATATGACAAGCTCATTTTCAAATTTATAGAGAAGAGGCTAACCAAGGAAATATTGAAAAACAACCACAAAGGAGCGACTTCCTCTCCTGTATATCAAAATATATTTTAAAGCTATAGAAATTTAAATAGCATGGCCTAGTACAAAAGGGGATAACTAGAATGATAGAGGAGAATAATGCAATTTTGTTCATGATAAAAATAGCATTTTTAATGTTTAATGTTAAACACTAGATAATGTTAAAATGTTTTTAAAAGTTCTCATCACAAGAAAAAAAATTTTGTGACTATGTAGGGTGACAGATGTTAACTAGACTTACTGTGGTGACTATTTAACAATATATACAAATATTATATGTGAATTATATCTCAATTTAAAAGAGAGAGAGAGAAAAAATAGCATGTTTAAAATGGTAGGGTGGAATGTTGACTATCCTGTCCAGATTAGGACAGAGGGAAAGAACAAGCAGAAAGAAAGAGAATACCAGACTAATATTTCATCCTATGGACAAAACCATTTTCTGATGATTAAATCATCAAATATATAAATAGCTGTAAGCTATTAGAAAGAAGCATACAATGTAAGATATATTGATATGAAGGAGACCTTGCTAAAGTAGGTACAAAATTTAGAAGCCAAAATGAAAAGAAAATAATTCATCTTCTATAAACACAAACCTCTGAATAAAAATAACATACACAATACTAAAAGACAACACCCTAAAATTTGCAATCTGTTTACCAGATTTATTTATGTAGTATTTGTAGAGTCCCCACAGGTCTACAGGAAGACAAGCAGTAAACCAGTAAGAAAATAGAAGTAGATAGGAGAATCAATAGAGAAGATGTACAAATGATTGATATATTTGCATATGTGTGTGAAAATATTCCCACTGACTAAGAGAATGCAAATTTAAACTGCACTAGAGTGTAATTTACTATCTCAAATCAAATTGGTAAAAATTTAGAAAAGATTCACTCATGCTAAGGAAATAAGTAAAAGTCATTTTCAACTTTGGCTCAATAATTCCATTATGAGGAAGGAAACTACTGTACAGCAATGCTAGCATGCATGTAATGAAGATGTACACAGACACATACACACACCAGAAGTGTTCATCGAATTATTGCTTGTAATAGTGAAAATCTGTAAGTAATTCAAGGTTAAACAAAATGGCAGTAATTACAGACATTTAGTGCACCCACACAAAGTACAATTCAGCCTCTGTGAAGATGAAGATCTAAGGTGGCGGTTCTCAAATTTCAGTGTACATCACAATTACCTGGAGGGCTTGTTAACACACATGTTGCTGGCCCCAAGGCAGGAGTTCCTGATGTGATGGGCCCGAGAACTTTCATTTCTAACAAGTTCTCTCCAAGGATCACACATTGAGAACCACTAGGCTGGATCTACACTTGCTGATGTGGACACACGGCCAAGTGAAAAATTCTAGTCTTAGAATTATACTTTTCATTATCTAATGTTTTTAAAAAATGAAAATAAAACATGAACATATATATCTATGGAAATGTACAGAACAAGGACTAGGTAATACACCAAACTATTTAATATTTACCTCTGGGAAGTGGGTGGGAGAGTGAAGGGGAATATTCACATTCAATACCCTATTGTTTAAATCATTTACAAGAAGACTATGTTCATAATTCATTTGTTATTGGTATGATATTGGAAAGAGAGAGAGGAGGGAGAAAGGGGGGGAGGAGAAAAAAAAAAGAAGGAAGAGAGAGTGGGTAGCTGAATCCTGAAATTACAGACATGTGGAGGTAATATTAGGTTGGTAGATGCACTAACAAACCCTTACCTCCTTTCTCTCTCACCTCTCCATGTATCTTTATGATAAACACCTGTAAAGCGAAGTGGTCTGGACACAGGTCTAGCCCTTCACAACTAAAAAAAGCTCATTAACAGAGATGTAAAGGCTCCATAGAGCATTAAAACACAAAAATATTGAATTTTTTTAAATGCATCTAATTTAAAGTAGACTATAGGGAAGTAAGAACCATTTTTTAAATCTGCTTATTTTCATACCTACACATTCAACTCTAGACCTTCACGTCTAAGCATAAATTACTGTAAAATAATAAAAAGCCAACATATGTTTTATTGAGTGTCAATATAATGCTTATGTATGGTTACCATCATCGCTATCATACAGATAAGGAAACTGAGATGAGCAGAGCAGAGAAGTTAAGGAACTTCCCAAGGTCACGCTGGCAGTCATGGTGGACCCAGGGTTATCCCCAGGCAGCCTCACTCCGGTGACATGCTCTTACAACTCCATTGTACTAACCACCTCTTCAGTTATTCTATTTCCCTTGGATACATCAATACCCTCAGGCCACTACACATTGCCAAATGATAAATTCTTACAGAAAATTTTAAATAATCTAGGGAAAAAAATGCTGCCTTAGAATACTTCTGGAAATGGAAACCTTTCTGACTCTCATTGCCATGGGAATAGGCAACAGATTGAGAAATCTCCTAAAGAATGAATGAAGAAGTTCTCTCTTCTGCTGCATTTCCAACTATCACCGTATTCAGATTAGACAAAGCAGCAAGAAAGTCATTCCAGCTTCATGGTACCAGCCAAGAAAAGTCGTCGTCAGGACCAACTGCCAACAGCATGCCCTTTAGTGTTTGGCCAAGATGCCAAGCCCAGCTGTTCTGTCAGCCTTTCTCATACAGTTTGTTGACAAAGAGGAGGCCCAGTTAATTTCTCAAACAGGCAATATAAGCTGAAACTGATTCACCTGCAAATACCCGAATTACTTCCAGGAATGAAGAAATGACGATACCGAAAAAATAAATTTTTCTTAGGCTCGGAATACATTGAAATGGTTCCATAAATGGAATTGCTTAGGAAAAATAGATAAGGCAATAGTCTACTCCGTTGTTTCTGAACTTATTTTGGGTTGGCCAGAGACCAAAGACTGAACTCCAGATTGTGAATCATGAAGGGGAAGATGTATCGGGAAAATAAGAAATTTATAATATTAAGGGAACATAAGGATGGAGATAGAGGGAGCAGAAGAGCTGGGATGACTTAAAAACATAGATAAGAAGTTGCATTTTTAAGTAAAATTTGGAGTTCCGAAGGTGCAGAATTTGGCACATTCGGTGTGAGAATAATGGGCATCAATGGTCTTCTATGGCCTTAAACCACCTCTCCTAAAGCAACGTGTGCCTTCTTTTAGGTTTGTTTGGACCCTCCTGTTTTGATGCCAACTTTTTGATTCTGGATTTTTTATTCTACGTATATAAATACAAAAATTACAATCAAATTATAACAACAATAAACTTTCTTTGAAATAATATTCTCAAATTAATGTTATCATTTTTTAATTTTAGTAAAATTATTTTCACTGGACTCTATTGTTTTCTACATAAATTTTAAAATAAAAATGCTTTACATAGCTTCTTTGTCTATATCAAATTTTAACAATTTTTGCTTCTGTCCCTGTATGTTCAGTTTTGCAATCATTTTTTCTACCAAGTCTAATTATATTGGGTCAAATTCTGTAGAATTCAATTTTATTAGAACAGTTTTATTCTTTATTCAATTTTCAGCTAACAGCCAATGTTATAATTTGGAAATTTATCCATTGTGAATTTTAATATTTTCAATAATTTTAATTATTTTTTATAGATTACTTTTGCTGTTTTCCATTTTAGCAACAGCATAAGTTTTATAAAACATCTTTTACTATTTCAGTTTTAGTCATGGTCTTATCTAACAATCTGTTCCTTCATTCTGACAAGTTCTTTTGCTTATTTTTTCTGTTCTTCAGGGTCAAAATGGTAGGGTTAAAACATCCTTGAGCATTAAGAGGTAAAAACGGCAGGAGTGAAAGATGAGGTTCAAACGATGGCTTCATAAAATCTCCACATTGCTCTTTACTTTCCCCTTTGTAGCTGTGTTAGCTGGATTATTTTTTTTTTTCTGTAACACTAATACTGGAAATATGTGACTTTGTCTACCAGATGAGACTTCTTTTCTATCACAGTGTTTGTGTTGATTACCAACGTATATTTTGAACTAGTCAGGTTAAATATATGACAATAAAAATTGGCAATTAATGAGTAAAACATCCTGAAATTCTCTACCCATATTAAATTTTTACCTCATAGATACATAGGCTAACTATATTACCTTACCGTATAAGCTAATATACCCCATACCCTCACCCTATATACCTAACCCTGTCTTTCACTCCTACAAGCTTTTTCTTTGCTCGTTGTTTATAATTTTAGTGCCCTCTGAAAGTCTCAATTTCGGTTCCTGCTATTAAATTAGCTTATGAAAGCTGTAGCTGATGACTCTGTGAGCCTGAATGCATATAGCACCTGCAAACATCTGTTTTTCAAAGTTTTCTACGAATATAATGACTAAGAGTAAGGAAAGTACATAGGACCTCGAGCATCACATTCTTCAGAACAAACGCTTCCCCGGCTGCAATTATGTCATCATGAAATCATGTTCCACATTCTAAAATAAACTCACTGCCATATGAATTGTTATATCTGAGATATTTTTGTAGTCGTCTTTTTAACAGCTTCCTTAGAAGTGTCTTCCAAAATTCTCACAATACCAAAACAAAAATTTCTTTTTTCATCGTATCCATAGGAATACTTCAAGCTAGAGTGTTCAACAATCACCACACTTATCCTGCATTGCATACACATGTACTTGAATTTCACACACACACACACACACACACACACACACACATTTTAGCTAAATCTTCTAAAATGTAAGCTTTTTCACTTCTACGAGAAGTCAAAGAGAGTTTTCCCCAATGTCACGGATCGGGACTTACCTGTGGACGTGGATGTCCTGTGACCAGACAGGTCAGTTCTAGGGTTTCTCCTTCCCGTATAGTGTAGACCCTCTCGGAGTAGCGCTCCTCCTCAATGTTACAGGCCAGGCCTGAGTGCACAATACGAACCGTGGGGGGAGCTGTTGAGTTAGGAAGAAAAGAGACAAGATACATAAAAAATAAGTCAGCTGTCTTCCCATGAATCATCCTGGTTGTAAGAGCAATTCTTATTAGACTCTACCATAGTCAAATCCATCAGTCTTAACACTTTGATCCCCAAGGGATTAAAGAGTTTGTGGGAAACAAAACTTCAAATGCATCTTATAGTCACCAACACATTGTGGAAAGGGCAAGGGGAAACGGTGCTGGGAGAAAACTGGTGATGCAGGAAATCACCATCACTATAGGACCACACGACAAAATTAGATTGTTAAAATGTGAGAGGTGGCTTCCTTTCTGAAATCCAGAATTAAATATAGTCACGGAGGTTGTCCAAATATGAGGTAGTGCAAAAGAAAGGAGGCCACTGGAAGGGAAAAGGGAATTGGAATTGAAGACATTGGCATTTTTCTGTTAAATTTATAAGCCCTATGGTGCAAATAGGAGCTAAGGAATGAGAAGATTTGGTAACCAGGAATTGAACAGCAATTTAGTTTTCAATATTCATAGACTCTTGTATTGATACAAGCAAAAGATGATCATTGAATTAAGCCACTGAAGAAGGCAATGAGTCATTGATGCCCAAGTATAAAATTCTGATTCAAGAGAGACTTAGTTCTCATGAAGCTATCCAAATTCCTAAATACAATTTTCTCCTATTTCAGTGCCACACAGGCCAATAAAACTTGACTACCACTCACTGACTCACATATCATCAGAAACCCACTACATGCAAAAACTCTTTGGGTCACGAGAGATACTTAGATAATAAGATATGCCTCCTGTCATCAAGAAGTTTACTGTCAGATACCAGCTTCAAATTGGAGATCACCCCCATTTGTGAATTCAGCATTTTTGTTTGTAATAAATTTGGGAGTGAAGGAGAAAGGGTCATTTTAATTAAAGGCTATATCTACATGTAAAGGACAATCATCTCAAGAATTTCCTGACAGCATTCCCAACCTAAACAGCAGTATCATTAGCAGAGGCTGTAGTTGCTTAAAAATTAATGTGGGCATATTTGGAATTTTTTATTTAACATTAAAATGATCATGAATCCTATAGAATCTGAAGATGAACTTGGTGATTCTATGGAGGAAAAAAAAATGATTATAAGTCCAACTTATGGGAAATTCCTTCTAGGAAAACCTGTGTTCTGAAAGTAAAAAAAAAAAAAAAGAAAAAGAAAAAGTTTCCAATATCTAATACTTTGTGTTATACGACACAAATGTACAGAACACTCAGAGTTTAATCATTGAAAAGCACATATTTTATTGTCCTTCTCAATTTCAAACAGAAATTGAAAGATAGAAAAGCCTACTTATGGATAAGACAACTTGTTATTTCAATTTCTTTCTGGATACCCAAGCAGAGTCCTGTTCTTCAACTTTCAAATTCAGGATCCCACTCCCCAATACCCAGAATCAAACAACATGTAAAAATTTCCAACAGTGGGATAAGAATGAAGAGTATTTTTAGAAGAGCCGTTCTTATGTTCAGTATGCACTATAAGCTCCCCAGGAACTTTTTTAAAATACAGATTTCAGAGGTATACATAGACGCCTGTTATGTGTGCATTTTTATCAAAAACCCAGATGATGACAATGACAGTGCTACTTAGACCAGATTATTAGAAATAATTTTCTGGGTCTTATAAATATTTGTTGACTTAAGGAAAATACTCCAAGAAATCAAATGTCCTTTTTCTTTTATTTTTTTCAAGTAACTAAACTTCATGCTATGCATCATTTCACTGGTTTGAAAAATTAAATGATGCTTAAACAAATCAGATGTTTTGTTTGGTCTACAAAACCAATTTATCAAAAATTTTCTACCATGTCTTTGGGTTCTGTCTAGACATTGTAATGATTTGTTTAGTTTTATGACATTAGAAATCCTTATCTCTAGTGTTTCTCTGGGTGTTCTGATATATTTCACACAATGTTTCCCACAAATCATTTCCTACAGTGATCAAATTTAAACTTCAATTTAGATAAGTAATACTAGAGAGCTACTTATTATTAAACATCTGTCTTATACAACTGTATACATATCATAGAGGTTAACAAACTGATGACAATCAATAAACACTTGCAAAATATAAATAGAAAATTTTTAAATAGATTCATTATCTTGAAATATACTTCTATGCCAAATTTAGCTTAGTAAGTGATAGCCTACATGTTTATTAATACATCTAATTATACGGTAACATGACATCTTTTCCGAATTAATTTCCACTTGTTATTTTTGTTTTAATTTCAAATCGATGAATAGTATTGTTATTTTTAAGATATATCTTTCCAAAGCATCATTATGCAAATAAGTAGCTTTATTTAAAACATTTAAATTATACAGAAGGCATACTGTGTTCATTTTCAAAGGTTAATTTTCTACTATTTTCTTCTATATTTTAACACATTCTTGGAAAAGATAACCGCCTGTATACTGTAATCATGAATCTACCACCTATCTTATAGAAGGGTGGAATATTCTACCAAACTGTAAGTGTTGAAGACGTAATTTTCCCAGTATGCATTAAAATATATACTCAATACTTTAGTTGCTCAATGTCAAGGTGAACATTTTGGAAGCTTCCATTCACTTTTGGTCTGCAGAAAGCTCAACTTCAAAGGTCTCAGAGCTCATCCAGGTCTATGCTCTTATCTCCAAGTTAAGGAAGTCAAGTCTGAGGACGTAAGTGGCCTGGCCACAGGCCAGCAGCTAGTTGTGGCCTCCGTGAGACCAGACTCAGAGATCCGTTGTTCTTCTCCCTACTTCACACTATTAAAACCATGTCTGACCTAGTTAGATTAGTGTTCTAAATAACTCCAAACTAGACCTAGACTAGACGATGGGGGTAAACAATTGAGAAACTGTTCATGAAGTAGTTAGAGCACCATAAAACAACAATATAAACAGTATAACTGCTCCAAAGTTAACCAACGTAACATGGCTCCAAGTGACCATCCTGCCTCCAGACCCTGCCAAATCCATGAAATCTTACCACTGCCAAAACAATCCTCTGAAATTTCTATTTTCATCCTGTCCTTTTCCTGCCTTGGAATCTATAATGTCTCCCCACAGAGTCCTAATCCCTCTACACAGCATTTAGATGCTCGGTAAAGGGTCCTCATACTGACTATCCAACCTGAAATTCCACTTCTCTGTAACATCGTCCAACATCTGTGAAAAGGTAAAGAGCACTGAGATTTTAAGTGTCTTTGCTCATGATGTTCCCCCATCTAGAATTCCTAGGCTGATATATGGACCAATGTTCCTGACACCTTCTTGAATTACTTAGCAATGACTCTCTTCTCTTTTTCCGGGAGATATGTATTGCCCAGTGATTTTCCTTTTTCTTAGAATTCTAACTTGATATTAAGTCCCTCACTGCCAGGATGAGCATCATTTTTGGCATCTGTCCCACAACACAAAATCCAGAGCACAGAGTAGGTATTTAATAATTCATAATTTGTTTTAGGAAATATCATTATAATGACACCAACCTCCTATTTTAGCAAAATATCAACTATTATGGCACCGAATTTACTTAAATCAAATATAAATGCAATTTGCAGTACTATATCTGAAGCAAGACATCTTTTATCACGTGCCTTGTTGGAAAAAGCCTCAAGTCCTTACCCTGAAATTGGACTAAGGGTTATGATTCCGTTTGCCCTATAGAGTTAGCAATGAATTAAAATGTTAAAATATTGCATGAGACTCATATTCATCCAAACGTGCTTGCAGCAAACCAAATCACATTACACAAGATCTTTCCTAACACTAATCATATCAACTTCCTTAATATAAGTAAACTGGCTTTGGGTTCAAGAGGTCAGCCTAAAAGGGCAAAAGAGAGGCATTCTTTTATCTTGTTAAAGTATACTTTTGAAAGTTAAACCAAATTCTCTCTGTATTCTGTTGGAGAAAGAACACAAATAAATTATTCTCCAATGGCAACAACCAGGAGCATTCATCTCATATACAGACTTTCAAGCATATATTTATTGAGCAATTGCTATAGATCAGGCATGAGGCTGTGTGGTGGGGATGTGAAGATCAATGCTATGAGCTGTGCCCTCTAGGCACTTACAGACTATCGGGTCTGTCCAATTTATATATATTAAACAAATTACAGTTGAACAGGAGAGTTACTCTAACAGAAAAAAACTATAAGATGACAAAGCAGAACATGACTAAATCTGCCTGGGGGATTCCAACGGGTTTCACAAAGTCAGTGACAATTAACCTAGGTTTAGAAAGATGCAGGTGGTGGGAACAAAATGGAACATTCCAGAGAGAAGAAACAGTGTGTTCAAAGGCATGTCTGTAAGAGACTGCCTGCAGTGGTTAGGCAATAACTACATTAAAATGTGGTCTATGTATCTTATAATTTACTCCAAACCTTAACACTGGTACCACCCTCTCAACTCACCATTGTGTTTCCAGAAGTAGGACAGACACTACGTATAGCCCTGGGAATGGAAACGAGGGGAGAGATCTACTTTAGAGGTCTTGTTAGACAAGACTTGAGGATTAACTGAATGTGGGGTGAGGGAGAAGGATTTAAGATGATACTGAAGTTTATACTGTGGTTGACTAGGTGAAAGACGACGATTTTTCAATAGAAGAGCTCTTGATCACCATGGACCCCACATTACTTACAGTTGGGAAAGGCTTGAAATGAGGGGCTCTGAGCCCAAATTATGGAGGGCTTTGTTAGTAAGTTAGTAAGAGTGAGAACTTCGATGCAGAATGTTTTTGAAGGAGAAGCTTTTTCCAGTCACAGGCACTATTCCTGAAGGACATGCTGTTTTTTGCCAGTAATAGGTTTGGTATTAGAGGTTTTCTCCCCTCTAAGAACCCCAAGTAAAAGCTTTATACTTTGGTAAATCCCTGATCCAACTATTCCATGGGAATTCAAGTTGCCAGTAAAATCCTGCCACTCTTCTAGACTAGGTCAAGGTAACTCAGG